TGAATTATTTTACTCTTTGTGGAACAAAAGCATTTAGTTCCAATCCCAAATCATGCTCCAATGTAGTAACCCAAGAATCTTTTCCAAAATGCCTACTCATCTGCAGTTAGGTCAGCATGATATAGTGCAAACAATGATGGGGAGGAAATCAGGAAACTCAGGGAAGAGATGGGTCTTCGTTTTGCCACTTTTTTAGTGATCTTCTACAATTCATGTAATTTATACGATCTTTGCTCCCTTTTATAAAAATAAGAAATGGGTTGTTGTGAGGTTCAAATGATAATAACGTGAAAGTACTTTAAAAGTGTTACAATACTAACCAAATTTTGAGTACTTTTTTTTTTTTTTTTTAATCAGTAGATTGTCTTGGGCTTTTTTTCTTCCCTTTCCTTGTTTCTGAACCAATAATTCCAAGATTTTTCTGAAGACAAAACTTTCTAACTAAACCTGTGGTCTAGTAGTTTCAGAAAGCAAGACATTAGTCTTTTGAAAAACTCAGCTCTTGACAAATATTCCTTCCTTTACTTGAAGAAATTGAGAAAAAAACACGTATCCATGACCTCTGCAGCGCTCTGGTTTTCTTAAACTTTTTAAGTTACTCACTTTTCCACATATAAAACCCTAAAATTGGTAGTAGTTCTAACAATGAAAATACATTAGAATTCTCATAACGGTGATATCTGAATGCCAGCATCCACAATAATGCAGCCACAGCAAATAAGCATATAAAAATAGTGAATGGCATAGTAACAAGGCAAAAGAAGTGATCCCTTAGGTGGAAATAACAGCAACCTTGCAAAGTTAGGTTCATGCAGACTAGCAAGTGAGAACCAAAGCGTTACCACTTAAGAGCTGGAAAAATATTTAAAAGAAAACAAAATGCAGCATCTATTACACTAACAAGTTTATACAAAAAGTAAAAAATACCAATTCATATAAAAATGTACAAAGCTTGCTATTCCAATAATATTTGTATATAGTTACATATCAAAATAGGAAGGCTAATATGAAAATATATGTACACTAATTAAAAGAACATTTACATATATACATTTTTATGTATCAAAGACGTAAGTGAAAATTGCAAGAAAAATGGATAGCTTAATATTCTTTGCTTAATACACTGTTAAAAATCTTTAACTATCTGCATAAAATAAACTTTATTAAGTTTTAAATTTGCTAATATTCTGGATTTACTACTTTCCAAATACATTTTTGAGAACAGTGTGATTCTACACTAAAACAAAGTACATGTTTCTGACATTTTAATTATAAATAAGCCTCAATACACTTGCAAATATAAAAAAAGTACATTCAATTGAAAAAAGGATAATACTTTTCTTCTCTGCCTGTACCTTATTCAAATATTGAAATACATCATTATTAAACTGCATATATATTTTCCATTTAAAATTAGTGATTAGAATTCCATTACTTAAGTTTTCCCTATATATTTTCCTGAATTATCAACTTTTGAAGAAAAAAGAAAAATAATTGTCTACAGAAAAAAATTTCTAGTGAATCGGCAGTTGATTATACAACTGGTAATTCTGCTACTTTGTAAAAAGTTTAAGATATGGACAATACATTTTTATGTCATTAAAATTTTTATCCTAGGTTTCCAACCTTTTCCTTTTTCCTGTTTTTGTGAGAAATTATTTTTCATTTCCATAAAGCTTTGAGATGCTTGTTGTTAGGTGCCATCGAGTCGATTTTCAACTCATAGCAACCCCATATGACAGAGCAGAACTGCCCCATAGGGTTTTCTGGGCTGTAATCTTTACAGGAGCAGATCACCAGGTCTTTCTCCTGAGGAGCCGCTGGGTGGGTTAGAACCACCAACTTTTCGGTTAGCAGCCAAGCGCTTAACCACTGCACCACTATAAGTGTTCAAATCAAGAGCACAAATGAAGGGCTGAGGGAACAACCTCGTGTAACGAGTTGGTACTGAGAGTAATGCAATGAAGTAAAGAGTAAAGATACAGCTACAAGTGGTTTTAACAAAGAGCTGGAAATCTGTTTGGCGATATATCACGAAAAAGTTTGAATATAAAATTCAAACTAAGTAGGAAAACACCTTTGAAAGCTCAATACAAACGATGGTTTGTATTATCTGTGCATATGCTATAAAAGCATGGTTTATAATACATGTGAGTGTTTTATTTAATCTTCCTAACAATTTAATTTTTCTTTCCTGTTGTATTAACACATTATGGATTGCTTTTTGTTTCATCCAAATATACCAGGGGGGGGAAAAAAAAAAAAACCAACCAGAAACTGGATATTCTTAAGTATCAAATTAACCTTAATTTGCAGGTTTAAAAGGCATAATATTTATCACTCATCATCTCAAGGACAACAAATTCTATCCTTACTTTCATTTAAAAAATTCTGTGAATCATTGTTTTCTATCCTATTTATTAGTATCACAATGAATATCATAATGGCAGTCTTAATTATACAGTTCACAATAATAATCACACGTAATCTGGAATATGAGCTTTAATATCCAATTTGGTACAAAAAAAATTTTTTTTTGCATATATCCAACTGAATAAATGGGGTATATAACTTCTACAAAAAATTTCCCACAGTACTTTAAAATATAGTATTAAATCTTAGAAAATACAGAAATACTATCTATGTTTAATGCCTTTGATACTAAACCATGGATGTAACAAATCTCCCTAGGGGGACTTAAGCTCTTGAGCAGGGTCAACGTTGGTTTGAATTCCAATCTGCCAGTTACAAGCTGACTATATGACCATATTTTTGATATTTAACCATTCACAGCTTCACTTCCCTAATTTATACAATGTGTTAATAACTGTTCCTACTTCATATAATTGTTCTGAGGATTAAATAAGATTATTCATATAAGATACAGTAGAATGTGCATTTCCATCATATGAATATCATATGCAACTGGTAAATAAGCAAAACTTGTCAGTATATCACAGATGTCGACTTGGTTCAAACGTGTTTCCCTAGCCTGTTAATTTTTGAGCCACCAAGTAACAGCAGCTTAACATAAAGTACATAAAGTCAGCTAAACACAATAAAGCTGAGGACAAATGCATGGAAATTAAAAAAGGACTTAATGCTTTCAAAATTTTATTACTTGGTCACCAAGTTACAAATGAACAAATAGTCAATAACCTCATGTCTGTATCATTTCTTCCTCACAGCCTTGGGAAGATGAAGGAACACATCTTTGCTACCATTTCAACCATGGGTGGTAACTTGGTACAAAGAATCTGGGTGATTTAAACTACAGGATTGATGTAAGCTGTGGGACACAGGGTACATATTAAGCATGATAGAAATAACTGTAATAGTTCTTTTAAAATTGACTTGACTATATTCTCTTACACATCTTAACGAGTAATAATTTTTGAATGTTCAATTCTTTTTAAAATCACTTTGTAGAGTAATGCCCATCTACTGCCATATCGCTTCTTCTTGGCTCAGTTTGGCCATGTGCTCTGTCTTAGAAGTTCTTACTGCATGATTGATTCTCTTTGATCCCTATGTTGTATCCAAAAAACTTAAACCAACCCCAATGCTGTTGGGTCAATTCTGACTCACAGCAACCCTATAGAAGAGAAACCGATATGGTTTCCAAGGAGCAGCTGGTGGATTCGAACTGCTGACCTTTTAGTTAACAGCCAAGCTCATAACCACTACGCCACCATACGTCTCCTTAATTTAGCTGCCTCAGTGCTTCCTTTCAATTAAGCTACCTTCAATGTTTTTAAAAAAATGAAGTCCTATATTTGCTGGAGTTATTTTTTTCTTAATTCATTAAGAACTTAACATGCCTTTAAACGTGCTAGTATTTTTATAGGATCATCATTGTTTTCATTAATGCTCTGTTAAGAAAGCTGCCTGCATTTTAAGTGGTCTGTCCTAGCGCTATTTTTCCCAAAAATTCTGTCGTTTTTAATGTAAAGTAACGCAGAATGCGAAGTTTTTAAAAATGTATATTTGTGTTATTGTAGAAATCCCTACTACTACATAGTACTAACCAAAAATAACCAAACTCACTGTGTTGAGTTGATTCCGACTCATGGTGACCCCATGTATTAGAGAGTAGAACTGCTCCACAGGGTTCTCTTGGCTGTAATCTTTACTTGTTGCAAATGAGCACATTACTTGTCATAAAACAGAAACTCATATTTATTATGAATAATAATAAATGAATATGAAAAACATTTCATCCATTTAGAAAGACCTGCTGCATCCATAGTTTAGTATCTGTTTGATCACCAGAACTTAGTAAAAAATATGATCTACATGTATTTGTTTCTTTAATATTTCCAAAACCATCCCCTCTGTTGATGTAAGACTTTAATGTTAACTCTAAGCATTAATTTAATTCTTCAAAAGACAATTTAAATAGAGAAATCTTGATTGATTCTTAAAGAATGATGGTTTCCGGCAATTTACTATCTCAAATTTTAATCAGGATAGGATTATGAATTAATCTGATGTCCATATTGACTCAATATTACATTTTTTCATAAAAATATTCTTATCTGAAACAGAAAATAAATCAAATTAAAACCAAATATTTAACATCAACAGATGTGGAAATAAAGTTAGATTAGCCAAGAGTTCTTACGGTTTAGTTTTGTTTTGGAAAGAAAAAAGGAGCTAGAAAAATCCAACTTTGGTAATAGATTTAATATATAACAGGTTTGAATAATGAATTGCTTATGTTGATCATGATACACTCTAAAAATACATGACAATAAAACAAACTTTTAGGTATTTTAAAAGTGGAGGTTATTAAAGAAAAGTTAAGTACCTACGAAGGAAAATATATTTTGGATAATATACTGGGATTAATAAGCACTAAATTTTACTATAGCTATAGTTTAATACTACAGCTATAGGTTAGGAGCTTCATTTTTAATACAGCTATTTAGCATAAAATTAATATCTATAATGTTTATTTTTAAGTAACTGGTACATGAAAGCATAAGGAAGATACTTACTGGCTGAAGCCTGAGGTTGCATGCGAGGTATTCCTCCATTTGGCACTTGAAAATTTGAATCACTTCTGCTGCTTTTCACTGAGTCAACTTGTGTAGTAGATGTTCGGGACAGGTTTGGAAGACTGCGTCTTAGTTTTTCTGTAACAACAGAATCAATTAAAAATACAAAGTATTCTTCCAGATGGAGAAAGAATTAAACTATTAGCATTCAAAAATCAAGTTTTTTAATGAAATATTTGGCATATTTTAGAAAAGATAACAGGAAGTACTTATTAAAAATTTAAAAAAACCCTCAATCCTGATTCTGTAAATGGGTAGAGTAAGAGAACATTTAAAAATAACCATAAATTATTAATTTAAATAAAAATCTAAATACAGATCACTTCATTAGTAAAGCAAGATAACCAGGTAAAACTAAATTCATTTTCTCCTTAATTTTTGTATTGACTCACCCTTAATAAAACTGTAAACTTGACTAAATTCTTGATCGACTTATCCAAAATACAAAACCTTGGCCAAGCGTGTGTTACCTGCATACTAAAATACAACAGTTTTGTCCCAGGAACATTCTAATCGTAAGTAAAATCTGCTAGGTTTTACCTTCATTTTTAACATTGCTTGTCTGTAAATCTGCAGGATGGCCTTGAAGTGAAAGGCGAGGTTGCTGTAAGCGGCTAATCATAGGCTGTGGGGATACTCTACTATATTCCATTCCCCGAGCCGGAGATCGTGAACGAGGTGAATTTCTGGGTGACTGCTTAGGTGACGGTCGAGGTGAATTGCGTGGTGATGGTGAAAACCTGTTAACAGCAGGGTATACTGCATGATGCATATTGTCATCTTCATCATCTAAACTTTGCGCATCAAGTTCCTGATCACTAAAAGTACCCCGTCTTGTAGAATTGCAAGATGAACCAGAACTGCGCCGAGATGTGGTGGCTGCATATTCTTGCCGGAGACCTGGCAATAGTGAATTTGTTATTTCTTTAATTGTATTTTGAAACATTTTAATATTTTTAAATTTTAAAAATAAAAGATCGTCATTGAGAAATTCAAATAGGGTATAAAGGAAAATTTCCTTTCCACTTAAGGCATCTTAGACATCCTCCATACAATGATTAATAAATTACACCTGAAGGTTATTTTAAATTGAATGAAATTCTATAAACCTTTGTCCAATTTCAAAATTTCTTCTTAAATATCAAATCTATATTATCAGGTAGAACCACAAATTTAAAAGTAGTTCTACTAAAGACAGTAATCCAAATTTGAGACCAACATTAAGGAATATTGAGGGAAAACAATTACGGTCCAACTAGTGAAAAGAAAATGTGAGTGACTGAATAAACTCCTTGGATACTTAATCCTTGAATTAATCTTACTCAGGGAGATGACAAAGTGACAAGGAAACTTCTATCCCACTCTTAGGAATTTAAGATTTGAGTATAGATAAAATTTCAATTGCTTCATAACCCAAGAGATTTCAATAAAACAAACAAATTCTAAGACTTCAAGTAAGAATTTTAAAGGAATCTCCTAATGTCAGTTGATACCTCCAGAAACACCCAAGCAACCTTGGGAGCCCTTCGAATAGTATAGAAGCTTCTGGAACAAAAACAAATGTCGATACATAATATATTCAATGAGGAAACAAACTATAATTCAAAAAAAAAGTACAGAGTTAGGTTTGAGCAAGTCTTGCTAGCTATTGGCAGAGTCTAGTCAAAAAGATCTGTTACAAATTAGTACTCAAACTTTTAAGCATTCATATATAGAAAAGTGCTAGCAACATGGTTCCCTAAACTAGTGGATAATGAGTGTCTTTAAAACTACAGATTACTGGGGCTCACCTAATCCTTCATTCAGGTTTGGGAACCACTGTAGCAACTGGCAAGTTGCCTAGCTATAGCAAACATGGCACTAAAGTCACCTAACAAAAGACAACAGACCAGTGAAATGAGCATTGTTTTAGAAAACAAAAACCCAGATTCCAATGCAGGCTCTCTACTAACAAGAGGATCCTAAGGAAATCACAACCACTATGAGATTTTCTGTTCCTTATCTTAAAAATGAAGACATTTGACCGTGCAACCTCTAGGATTCTTCACAAATCTTTAATTCTACATTTCTAATTGTTACAAAAAACTGGAGAAACAATATTGTAAAAAAGAAAATTATCTCTTAAAAAAAAAGCTGCCATTTTCAAGGAGGTATCACATACATTTTTAACATCTTTTTTTATTCTCCAGGAAAAGAAATATTCACGCATGTGGATGGCTTAGAAAGGATTACTGAAACACTAAAATTTCCATTATTGGTTACCAAAACACAGTGTAAAAGTTACACCAAAAAGTTGGTTGAGCTTCCAACAAAACACTGGAGTCCAAAAAGTCAGAGTTCAAAGAAGAAATGTGTGAGTTTATTCTAAGGTATAGAGTTAGGCAGCATCTTTATTTTCCTTTCATATCTATGACAATAACTAGCCCCACTAGCTGAAAATAGCACAATTTCAATAAGCAGTTAAAAAAAATTACAAAAGAAAGGGTTACTATATCACTAGTTTCTAAGGCTAAAGATAAATAAAGAAAGCACTGAGTCTTTCTATCTCCAGGGGAAGCTGCATGGAAATGGGAAATCAATCAGCAAAGTAAGAAACATTCTACAGTTCTTAATGTTACAGTTTCATAAAACTTACTACATATTTACATTTAAGAAAGGGCCTATTATGTATACAAACAATATAAAGTTTTTGAACTAAATGACAGCAATGTTCTATATGCTCAGTCAATTGCCAAGACTCCGAAATGTGTATCTGAAGAATGTTTTCATCGTAAAGGTTAAAAGGGATCACTTTAAAGAAAGTGTTACTTCACAGCTAAGCAACGGCACCTCATAATAAAACACATAGGCAATAATAATACCATCAGCACCGTTTTACATTCAGATGACAGCCAGGGCATCCAGAAACCTTGAAACAATATGAAAAATGTTGCACATATTTACATATAGGGGATGACAGGGGCCATAACTTTCATTGGATTCTCAAAGGTGTCTATAACTTAAAAAGTTTCAAGAACCACTTAGCAAAGCACCATCAGATAGTATGACAGACATATTTACAACAATGACCAAAAAAAAAAAAAAAAAAGAGTAGCTGCTGAGGCTGCTTATGTACAATCACCACGTCACGGGATTTTGTTCCTTGGTTTGGAGGTTTAAGGTCATGGTTTCATGGGACATCCCAGTTAACTGGCCTAATAATGTGTTTAGTGCTTCTGTTCTACCTCCTAGTTGGCTGCATAGTGCCTAAGGTCTTAAAAGTTTGCAAGCAGCCATCCAAGCCACGACAATCAGTCTCTATTCACCTGGAGCAACAGAGGAGAAGGAGAGTCAGGAAATAGGAGGAGGATACGGAATGTGTGGCTAATTGCCTCTGTGAACAACTGCCATCTTTGCCATGAGACCAGAAGAACTGGATGGTGCCTGGCTACCATTACTGAACATTTTGATCAAAGATTCTATAGAAGAATCCTGATCAAAAGAGAGAAAACGCAAAACAGAATTTCAAATTCTCATGGACTCCAGACTTTCTGGAGCCATGAAGGCTAGATAAATCCCTGAAACTACTGCCCTGACATAATCTTTAAACCTTAAACTAAAAAGATTAGATAGAAACCTTAGGGGGTAGTGAGTTAATGTTAAGGGGGGAAGAATAACTCTGAAAGAGAGGGTAAGAATGGCTGTACAACTCGAGGAATGTAATCAACATCACTGAATTGTACATGTAGAATCAGTTGAACTGGTGTATGTTTTGCTCTGTATATTCTTAACAAAAACAAACAAAAAAAGCACCATCGTATGCTTTTTTTAATTTAATGTTACAAACTGCAATTTTCTCATAAAGGTCTTTTTCTATAGTCTACGCAGTGCATTCTAAGCAGGGGCAATACTCTCCCCTAAGTGGGAAAAAATTGGTGCTTGAGGTGTAAAAAAATCTTAGATATCATAATGGTTTGTGATATGTAAATAAATACATATATAGTACATCTGTGGTAATAAAATTTCATTGGCAGAGGGGCGAGAATGGCGAAAAAAATCTAAAAGGCTCCTTTGGGGCCAATAACGAAAAAAAGATTGAGAAACACTGGTCTGCACTAAAAAATACAGACAGCACTAGGGAGTTCCAGTGCACAGTAAGGCACAGGGTATAATTATTAGTCACAGAAATAGAATATGTCTTTCCCTTCTCCCTCACACAGCCAACTGCTGTATGTAACATGGACTCTGAAAACAAGTTAATAAGCTTCTCTGTACATTTGAATAAGGCTCTGAAATGTTTATTTCAGCATTTCTACTCTCACTGCATTCTATTCCCACAATACTTTCTAAGCCATATTTAATACAACAAAATTATGCGGCAGTAAAATAGCTCAACTTTTAAGAACTGAAGTACTTACTTTCTTCCTGCATCCGAGCTAGAATCTGCACATCGGTTACATCATTTAGCTTATAATTGGATCCAATTGAATCTTCATCTAATTCTGAAGCACTTAACTCACTATCTATAGAGGACTGAGGACTGAGTGGAGGATTTCTGTCTGATAAACTTTTCAAATTACCTTAAAAGAGAAAAAAATTTCAAACAAAAATTGAATAAACTGTTATAATTAACGATATTCTTTCATTCGGTTATTATTGTCTTTTCTATTTGTAAAATTCCCAAATATTAAACTTAAAAACTGACCTTATTAAAGCTATACAAAAGCCAAAACCCACAGAGTTTCCAAGGAGCGGCTAGTGGATTCAAATTGCTGACCTTTTGGTTAGCAGCTGCGGTCTTAACCACTGTACCACCAGGGCTCCTGTTACAGCTATAGAGATGCCTTATTCATACACGATAGCATAAATATAAAAGACAATTTCATTTAACTATAATTTATCTGTTCTTTTATGAAAAAATTAAGTTTTCAACACAGTGCCTGGCAGATAATAACTAGATATTAGAAGATTTCAACTTTTACAAGATAGCCAGTTAAATTTCACTATAGATTGATTTATGATGCAGTTTTCTCCCCTCAAATTCACAGTCATTAACAAATATCATCATCTTTTCCCTGAATAAAAGCATCTACTTTTCCTAAACAAGAAAACTATAATTTGAGGAAAATTAGGATTCCTAAGAGATGCAGGAACAAACCAAAAAAAGAACACTAGGCTCCTACATTATGCTATGTTTACAAAATTCCTTTGCCAAACTAGTAATGGAGAGCCAAGGAGTTCTCAGAAGTTTAGTAGTGAAGTACAAAAAATAGGATGAAGAAAATAACTAGATTTTAAAAAGTACTTTGTCATTCTAAACTTAAAGGGGTACAGAAGACAGGTCAGAAGAATAAAGGATAACTGCATCCAAAAGTCTAACTTGTTTCTAAGAAAATGCTTCCATCAGAAGTCTAACTTGTTTCTAAGAAAATGCTTCCATCAGATCACTAACTTCTAGAGAACAAAAATAAAACCTTAACACTGTCACTAGTATTTCTAACACACGTTTATTTAAAACACTTATTTCCCAGAATTTTTCATTGTAAGTCAGCTCCAATATAAAAGGCACAGGAGAGGATGAAAAATAAAGCATACACATGATAGGAAACGTACTACAAGTTCAGTCGCAAACAGCACCTGAATCAATTTTTTTTATTTTAAACAAATATTGCAAATGAAACTTTTTAGTGTGATTTAGTGATAGGTGAAATAAGTAGCAAATAACCTATATACAAAGCAAAGGGCAGGGTCAATGAAGTCATTAGACTAGGAGTACACAGGACAAAAATGTGAAGTGGTTAATAATACCTTAATGTTAAAGAAGCTATAATTAGCCCTAACAACAACAGCAGCAAAAAGGTAACTGAATGAGTGAATCCCAAAGAAGAGTAAGCTACAGAGTAACAGTCTCAGTCACAGAACCAAAGCAGAACATTCTTTCTCCAGTTCACAGCAATCTGTCCCTCCCGTATCATTTATGGCTTCTAGGAGCTTGACTAAGGAGCCCTGGTGGCACAGCTGGTTAAGCGCATTGCTGCTAACCAAAAGGTCAGTGGTTAAAACTCACCAGCCACTCCATGGGAGAAAGATGTGTGAGTCTACTTCCATAAAGATTACAGCCTCGGTAGCTATGAGTCGGAATTGACTTGATGCAACAGGTTAAAAGCTTGACCACTATCTGAAAGGTTGGCAGATCAAACCCACCCAGAGATGTCTTGGAAGACAGACCTGCCTGCCAACCTGCTTCCGAAAGGTCACAGCCTTGAGAACCCTGTAGAGCAGTTCTACTCTGCACACACAGGGTTCCCGTAAGTCGGTATTTACTCGACAACAACTAACAACAATCGCTCTTTTGGCACATTCACGTATAGCCTTACACTATTATTTAACTGCTGTATCAAAGCTTAACTACTGTGCCACCAGGGATCCAGTCGCTATGAGTCAGAATCAACTCAACGGCAACAGGTTTGGTGTGGTTTTTTTCTTTTTTTTAATCAAAATTTTTTAATCAAAATTCCCATAAAAAATTTTCACTTTACAGTTCTTACAACCCAAGCAGGCTGCTCGATAGGTATCTATTGATTAAAACAATCAAGGTTGTGACCCTACTTAATCCAGCCAGATTTTTTAAAAATCTAAGTACACACTACTTTAAAAAAATTTTTGTGGCTGTAACACACTGGCTTATCTTTGTACTTCTAGTTCTTAGTAAAGTATCTGGTGCAAAGAAGCTCCTTAATGATATTTATTCTAACTAATGAAAAGTTTATAAATAAAATGAACCTGAACTACTGATGAATAAATTCTCTTCTGAGGTAAGACAGTATGTTAAAAACCATTCCTTAATAACTCCATTCTGTTTCCCTCTTACCTGAATTTCCAGGAAGTATAAGTTGTTTGACTATAGGAGGGCGCACTGGGGTTGAGGACGGAGAATTAAAACCACTGCTATATGGGCTACTTGCATTTGGACTGTAAGGGCTTGTATAACTCACAGAGTTGAAAGGATTGTTATATAAATTCTGCCTCTTGAGAGCTGTATTAATGAGAAGGGGGAAAAATCACATTTAATAACTGAGATATGGTTAACATTTTGTTTCAAAAGTTTTCATATTAGGAAATTCATTAAGTCATTATCTATCTTGATTTAAATAAGCATTCTAATGGCAGTAGGAAAAATATATACTAATAATCTATAAAACTGTTTCCATTCTCTTAAACTGTATTATGCAAATAAACAGTATATAAACCAAACAACAAAAATAACATCATATGAAGAATATTTCTTAAACAGATTATTAGGCACTAAATTCACTTCCATCTTGTTGGAAAGTTTATTCTTTCATAATTGTATCAACCATTAGTGGCCTTTAAAAAATAAAATGGATTCATAACATATTTGTATCTTCTCATTTTTCTAAAACGAACATGTATTACTTTCAAAAACTATGAAATAATATGTTTTAAAAATAGCCTTTCCAAAGTTCAGATTTTTGAAAAAGTAAAGCAACAGTGACTATTTGTTGTTGTTAGGTACCGTCAAGTCAGTTTCGACTCATAGCAACCCTATGTACGATAGAACGAAACACTGCCTGGTTCTGCGCCAGCCTCACAAACGTTATGCTTGACTGTTTAAGCCAAGGCAATGTCAAAATATGGAAGAATGTTTTTTTTTTTTAAAAGAAAGCTGTGTTATGCATATAAAATTATACACACAGTACAAAAGTAAGGTTAAGATATCAAATGCAATTATAAAAAAGAAAAATTAATACTCAAACAGTATTTCCTCTTACCCTATTCTATAACCCACCGCTTAAATTCAGTCCATAAATATTTATGATAATGGGCAAAGCATTGTGTAAAATATATAAACAAATATGACAGGGTGCTTTCTCTCAAAAGGCTTACAGAGAGTAGGCAGAAACAACAACAGTTCTAAGGCAGAATGAAATTAGTACTATTATAAAAGTGCAAAGGGTGGTGGCAATGAAGAGACAGGAGTAATTCATTCCAACTGAGAGAAACTAAGTAGGCTTTTTGGAAGGAGAGGTATTGGAGCAGTCTTGAGAGAATGAGTGGCAATTTGATAAGCCACTGAAAGTGGGGAAAGTACGTGCTTTCACCTGTGTTTAAAACATGAACAAAAACAGTGTCTTGACGTGCATGGCGTATTCCGAGAATAAGAGTGAGTAATCTAGTATGGTAAAGCACAAGGTGAGGGACAAAACAGAAAAACTCAGCTGGGGCCAGGTCATGGAAGGCTGGAAACACCATGCCCAGAAATCTCAATCTTGTTTAGTAGTAATGACAAAGCCATTAGTGATTTTTGAGCAAGAGTTTGATATGACTCAATCAGTTTAGAAAAAAAAAAAATTGATGGAAATTTTGATACTGAGTAGGCTAGATTGAACTAGGCAGTAAAGGTAATTACAAGTTTAAAAAAAAAAAAAAGGAGGGAGAGGTGATATTAAAAACTTAAAAGGATTGCTACAGTAAAAAAAAAAAAAAGACCAGAGATTATTCTGAGGTTTCTGGTTTGCCTAAAGGCAGAGCAGTGATTCAGCAAAGAGGAACATGTGTTTTCCATTTAGTTGGATAGTGTAGTAGGATGGACAGCATAGTAAGTTGAATTTTATACATATCATCACGACGCAAAACATCACATTTTATAAATACTTAGTATGTAGCATGATCACGGGAATATAGACCTAATCAGAAACGGGGTTGCTAATTTTTTCGTATCTCTTTGCTCCTTGTAGGTCTCCTCTGAAGCTTATTCCCTTTTACTTGGTTAATTATCACTAGCATTTCAAGTCTTCAGCTCTTTTATCTTTTCACTTTATATCATATTCCTTCTCAGAGAAATCGCATTCATACTCATGACATCAATTATTATCTATATGCAAAGACTCCTCATATTTTTATGCCCAATCGTAAGCCTACCTCTGAGCTTCAGACCTACATATACTGCCCACTTAATGTGTCCCTTGGTTATGGCAAAGGGAACCCAGAGTCAACATGTCCAAATCCAAACTCATGATCTTCCCCCTAAAACCTAATTATCTTCTAGGATCTCTATCTCAGAATGATAATAACATATCCTGTCATACAAGCTGAAAACCTAGAAATTATTGTTGACACTTTCTTCTCCCTTGTTTCCGCATATTTGGTCCCCCTACTTGTACTTTCACATCTTTCCATCTCCACTACTACCCTTTTACCCACCCCTCACTCACATACAACCCCGTTATCCTCATCAACCCCTCTCAAAAACATCCTACCTTCACTCTTGGCCCTCTCCAACTTACTCTACATACTGCAGCCAGAATGACTTTACGAAAATACAAATCATATCATCTCCACCCCCTGCTCCCCCCGCACTGCACCCCTGAATAAAACCCTTCAATATCTTTCCATTGCTCAAAATCTTTAATAGGCCTATAAGGCCATGCATAGTCTGGCTCATATCTTTCTGGCCTTATCTCACATGTCTCCCTTCCTTACTCTTTCTATTCCAGCTACCCTCGCTTGTCCTAGTTCCTCTCTAACCAGTTCTCTCTAACTGGAATGCTGTACTCCCTCTTTCTCCCTCCCCTTTTAGCAAACTTACATTTTTTTTTTTAATCTTCAGGACTCAGGTCAAGTATTATTTCCTGAAGGGAATTCCTACTTCTCAAACCTTTAAACACAGTATACCATTCCTTTATTATATATCACCAGTTATAAAGATTATTTGTATTAATATGTTTCCACTATTATATGAGAAACTCCATGAGTGTAGATACAGTGTTTGTTCTCATCATGTATCCCATAAACACCATCACATAAAGGCAATTCCTTCAAAAGGACTCTCTACTCAGGAAAAGTTAAGACTTTAGTGTCAAAACAGACTAAGATTCAGAAACTCTGTAATCACATCCTGTAAGTTATGTGCAGAAATAACCATTACTCCTTACAGCAACCAAAGATAAATTACACTTTGCCAGTATACCTGTATAACTAGCCAATCAAACATAAACTATACTTATGCCAACCTCACTGTATAGCTAGTCTCCTCCCCTCTGCCTCCCTGACCATTTTCAGCTTAAATTTTAACTAGAGAACATATTATTTCGATGATAAAGTCAAAATAAGCAATTTTAAGTACATGGCTGTTAAGTAAACTCTAAACAAACCAATGACAAAAAAAAAAAAAAAACACCAAAAAACCTATTTAGGATTACTAATCATGCATTGAGCCTTACTACATGATTATTCCAGAAAACAGTAACATTCTTAAAAGAGACTGAGAAAATTCTAAGAAAGGGTCAATAATAACATTCTTATGTTTCTATTCATACTGGCTTGCTTCATTAAATGCCGTAAGTAGCCACAGACACATTTTGTCAGCTTTGTGAACAGTATTACACAAAAAGCATAAAACCAATTTAAACCTAAAATGTCGTGTAAAACAAACAAAAAAAAAACTAACAAGAAAGTGATATTAATACGCCAAGTATCTACTATGTGCCAGAAAAAGTGCTAGGTACAACAACATCATTTATTATGTTAATATGAAAATATATTAAAAAACTTAATATTAACTTTTCAAGGTTCATCACTCTCATGACAAAACTGAGCTCACAGAAGTTGAAGAATGCTCAAAGTCACACAGCAATAAAGTGCTAGGCCTCTTTGGTTCTCAAAGCCACATCTTTCTACCATATTAGAGTTTCTTCAAAGTGTCATATGTGAGATGATTTTAGATGATACGAGGCAAACATTTATTTTAATACCCATTTGTTTTAACTTGTATTAGAAAAAAACAATCACAGAGACGACATTATTTCATAGGTATTACTCCTTAGGATGAGGCTACATAAGAAGTGAGGAGATTTAAAACAAATTGTTAAGTAAACAATAAGACAGGGGTATGTGCACATGGCAAAAACTCTCATGGTGGTATGCAAAATGAGATTTGAAAAATGCTACCAAGTAAGGAATTGCCTTCTTAAAAATATATCACTCAACATTTATCTATTTTTTGATTAAAGAAAGCAAAGGGATGAATTTACAAGTAAAATTATAGACATACCTGACATAGTTTGATCAAGTTTGTGGATAAGAGACTTTTTAGCACATTCAACATCAGGACTTGGGTAATCCAAAACTTGCCTGCACCAAACTAATGGACTAACTGATTTCTGCATTGGTGTCAGTTTTTTCTTTGGTGATGAGTAAAGCCTAGAAGAAAACAAAACAACAAAAATAAAAGGGTAACAATCATTATTAAGCACAGTATTCTAAAACAGGGATCTTGCAGGTGAATTTAAGGGGGGGGGCGGAGAGTTAGAGTGACAGAGAGTGTTTAAAATCACCTATATTTACTTAGTGCACAGGGAGTAAATGATTCTCTAATATAAACAATTTGACTCAAACCTCAAATATCAAACGAACTAAAATGAGGCCAACTGTCCATTCCTAAAGTCTGTCTTATTTTTCCCTTTCACTCTCATTACTAAAACTGTGAGGAAATGTTTGTATTTACAAGTTTATTTTATTTTCAGTAATACCTGACTTAACTCTTAAAAACAGCTCTATCATTAGGGCTAGTCTAGGGTAGAACGGGGAGATAAAAACCTTCCTCTCTACCTCCTATCTCCCCTCCAGCTACAAACTCACATAAAATCTACCATTAGTGATTCATTCTTTTTAGTCAAGCAGTACCCTCTCTGTAATTCTCTTTTCAAATGATAATACATCTAGGAAGAGCAATACTTTAAATCCTTAAAAATTTAAGGTGGATAAATTTATGAAGTACTTCAGTTTCAGAAGAGAAGAAAGCGGCAGTATTTTATAAGCTCCTAGAAAATGTATACAGAAAAAAGATGAGCAGAAGGTGTGTGTGTACTTAAATTTCCTACTTTATAATTTTTCCTAAAATTAGCCCAGATTATGTCAACTGATACTAGTTTATTTCAAGTATGACTTCGTATGAAAAATATACATACTTGATTTTTTAACAGGCTGTTTTCTTCAAATTAAGACACTTTAAGTGGAATTTTATACTTCAGCATATCTATATACTTAAATGTCTCAATAAAGCAAGGAGTTACAATTTCACGTTTTACATTAATCAAGTTAGGGCAATAAAATGAAGTGCTGTTCTGGTGCAAATATTTACATATATCGCTACAGCACCAGAACAAACTACTTTCAAAGTGGCAAAATATACATCATCCATCCCTTTTTTTTCTCCTCCCCTATCTATAACTTAAAAAGAGTCCTGGTGGCGCAGTGGTTAAGAGCTCGACTGCTAACCGAAAGGTTGAAGGTTCAAAACCCATCAGCTGTGGCAGTGTACTTCTGTAATTATAGCCTTGGAAACCCTATTGGGCAGTTCTACTCTGTCCCACAGGATCACTATGAGAGGGAATCAACTTGACAGCACTGGGATCTATAATTTAGATCTGTCATTCACATGCATTATTGAGCTCTGATCAAGACAGTCAAGGCTACTAACCATTTTTCTAGTGCACAATCCCTATTCATTTGGACAAAAATACTGAAACAGAATCTCTATGAAATAATTAACAACTTAAAATGAAAATGAAACCAATGGGCTTCATTCTCTTTCCAACTTTAGTACTGTAAATGTTCCACATCAAATCCTACCTCAGCACCCCCCCTTAAAAAAATGTGGTAACTATTATATATTGATTCCCTAAGTTAGCAAATGTTTAACAAACTAAACCTCTATATTTCTCATAAGTAATAAACATTACTCATAAGTAATAAACATTAATACAAACACTTCACGATACTGTCACCACTCTTTCAATATATAACATTCCCTTACGCTCACTGGTTTCATGCAATTTACCCACACAACTCCCATGTTACTTAATACGTTCCTCTACTGTTGGCTATAAAACTTTATCATTTTAAGAAAAGTCCAAGGAATATGGGTAAGCCTCAAAAACATTATGCTCAGGAAAAGAAGCTAGACACAAAATACGTATTGTATTCCATTTACATGAAATGTACAAAAAAGGCAAATATATAGAGATAGAAAATGTATTAGTGGTTGCCTAGGGCTGGAGGCAGCAAGAGGGATGAAGTTTCTTTTTAGGGTGATATAAATGTTCCAAAATTACATTGTAGTGATGGTGTGATTGTTATAACCACACTAAATTCACTGAACTGAACAATTAAAGTGGATATATTTTATGGTACATAAATTTTATCTCAATAAAGCTGTTTTTAAAGAGGTGGAAGGTACTTATTGGTATCTTTAAAAATACAGAAACTATTATAAACTCAATGAATAAAACACCAACATTTCAAAATCAATTAGACTAAAACATCACCGTCCTCTTTACCTTCCATGAATTCCCCTTGAGTCTCCCATAGTATCTCTCCTATTTTTGTCAATGGCACTAACCCCCATTCTCATTACAGGAGACTTACTTTCTACTTTATTTATGTGTCCTGTTTGAATTTTCTGAGTTGGTATTTATAATTTGAAAAGAGACACTTAAAAAAATGTTAGAGATATAAAAAGGATATAACATGGATGAACTCAAAAACATTATGCTAAGTAAAAGAAGGAAGTTACAAAAGACCATACACTGTATGATACCACTTACATGAAATTTCCAGAATAGACAAAAAATATAGAGATAGAAAGTAGACTAGTGGTTACCACGGAATGGGAGAGTGAATGGGGAGAAGAGCAAGGAGGAGAGCATGCTAATGGATGTAAGGTTTCTATTTGTCTTCACACAGTTCAATGCACAATCCCTGGCACAGTGATTGGCATTTACAGATGCTCAAATATCTGCATCTGAATCAACACTGAATAAAAAACCATGATTACAATGTTTAAAAATGTAATATGAAAAAATTAAATATACCAAAGTAAATAAGATCAAAGTAGCCATTTTGAGGTTATATTTTATTTTTATTTTGTAATTTTAAGGTTTTTTTTTTTAAACTTTCATTAATAAAAGTGTCTTTGGTTTTACCCACAAATAAATATAATTTCCTAATTCTAAACCATTATTAGGATCAAATGTTTTATAATGATTTAATTAGCTTTCTCAGTCATTGTAGCAATAATAATATTTGTTGTTGTTCTTTATATTTCATCAAGTGTTTACTACATACCAGCCACTGTTTCAGTATTTTAAATATACTAACTCTTTCAATCTTCACGACAAACCTATGAGATAGGTTTTTATCATAATCTTCATTTTATAGATGAGGTGAGGAACACACAGTGAGATTAAATAATTTGTTCATAGCTATTAAGTAGCAAAACTTGGATTGCTCCAGAGCCTGTGCTCTTAGTTACTATACTTTACTGCCTAATACCTGTGGTGGCACAGTGGTTAAGAGTTACAGTGAGCTACGGCTGCTAACCAAAAGGTCGGCAGTTCGAATCCACAGCCACTCCTTGGAAACCCTATGGAGCAGTTCTACTCTGTTATATGGTCGCTACGAGTCAGCATTGACTGGATGGCAGTGGGTTTGTTTGTTTTAAATCATTGTTTAAAAAGAATACAAAAGATCCTTGAGTTAAAGACTTCATATAGTAATCATTCTAATGGCCTCAATGTTCCCTGCTCTCTTCTTCCAAGCCTTAAAAAAAAACAAAACCTGTTTCAATCGTGTCGATCTTCACTCATAGCTCACCACCGAAAGATACAAAATTATAATTAATTCCACTATTACAACTAAAGTCAAAACTCAGCTGGAAAAAAAAAAACCTTCATCTATACTGTAAGTCTTTTTGAAGTTTTAGACTGACCATACTGCCATTTTCCAATTATATTTGGTCTACTAACTAAAAGGCACATAATACTATACTTATAAGAATAAACATACCTTTCTGGTTTTTGGAGGAATGTCATTAGAATTACCAATAATAACCCCACTGCCGCTGAGTCAATTCTGACTCATTGCAACCCACAGGACAGAGCAGAACTGCCCCATAGAGTTTCCAAGGTGGTAAATCTTTACAAAAGCAGACTGTTACATCTTTCTCCCATGGAAAGGCTGGTGGGTTTGAACTGCCAACCTTTTGGTTAGTAGCCGAGTGCTTAACCACTGTGCCACCAGGGCACCTATTACAATAACAATGATAATTATTAGTAAGGCAAATTCATTAACAAAGTGTCAGAAGAGAACCAAACAGCTTAGAAGCAATGAAGTGACAGTAGTTGCAGGGTAAGATACGTGGAAATTATATATACATATACAACTATAACAGCAGTACATAAGACAAATATAACAGCAGAACATAAAAACAACATGGCAAATCAAACAACAGGGCAGAGCAAGCAGAGCACACTAAAGAGAGCTCTTAAAGCAGTCATTCCCAACACTTTTAGAGACTATGATATTCTATGCTCCCATTTTCATTTCATGACTCTCTTTACTCCAATTCTGGTATGGCACAGGTTTATTTTAATATATTTTTTTTATTGTTGTAAAAATACAGAGAACACAATGCCAATTCAACATTTTTCAAATAAACAAAAAAACCAATTACATCACTCCTATTGTCCAACCATCACCAATATCCCACAACAAATTTTCCATCCCCATAAACAAACACTCAATGCTACCAAAACAATGATTCTCTGCCTCCTCACACCACTCCTGCCCTTGGTAACTGCTATTAAACTCTAATCTCTATACGTTATGGAATGGATAAGTGAATCAAAACAATTTTGATATTCCTTGGGGTGTCAACAAAACTGAAGCTGGAAATTATGGCTTTAAAAGACATATCAAAGTAAAATTTCAAGTGCTGAGGTATAGTTAAGTATTGTTGGGAAGTAATAGCTATAGTCCAACCAAGCTAAAGTGCATCAATCAGAAACTGAGTCGCTTCTTGTTCAGAAAAGGCATTAGGAAGACCGAGACTATCAAACTAAACCAAGCTCTGCAAACTGCGGCCACAGCTGCAAAGCAAGAGGCAATCTTTATGTACGTGTTATGTATACTAATACACACTTTAAAAAATTTTTTTTTCTTGTACTTTAAATGAAGGTTTACAGAATAGATTCTCATTAAACAGTACACATATTGTTTTATGACACTGGTTAACAATCCCACGACATGTCAACACTCTCCCTGCTCGACCGTGGGTTCCCTATTATCAGCCTTCCTCTCCTTTCCTGCCTTCTAGTCCTTGCCCCTGGACTGTTGTGCCCCATTAGCCTTGTTTTGTTTTA